TCATGAGGCAAGACCTTACTTGGAATCCTAAAAGAAAACGGAAAAGAGGAGGGTCGATGAACACACTACGTCGAGAATCAGAAGCAGACCTGAAAAGGATGAATGGTGATAGGAAACAACTGGAAAGAATCGACACAGATAGAGTTGGATGAAGAATACTAGTGAGCGGTCTATGCTCCTCGACAAGGCTCAATTGATGTAAATAACTAAGTTGTTCTTTTAAGTGGATAATACTAGTTAGAGGTACTCAGTTAGGCGTCATGACTAAATTAACATAGGGACAAGTATGGAACGCGTATCTTCTCTCAGACAGTCAGTGCGGAAGTCTTACATTCCTGTACCTTTTATTAAAACTCAAAATAAAACTTTTCCCAACTGACATCCGAATTTGTCTTCAAGGTGATTATTCTGATATAAATTCGGTGAAATGTTCTGCTACCAAAATGGCTGGAAATGCGCCTCAAACTTACCACAGCATGCTGTGCAAGAAAGGCATTTTTGTCACACTTAACATAAGACTCTGGATCAGATAGTACCAAAACTTCAGTGTTTTTTCAACATAGGAGGCCTCCAAATGAAAATTACCTAGGTTGTATGTGTAGTTTACAAGATTCCTCAAATGGAGTACTTCACACTTTGGTATGTTGAAAGTAAATCTATTGCTATTCATTCAACTTTAAAGAGTCGGGTCCTACTGATGTCCTGGCTTGTTATCACTATGGTTCGAGATCATCAGACAGCAGTCACATATAAAATGAAATAGAGAGGAGCTCCTATTAATGAACCCTGGGGAACCACACTAAGGCATTTTGTAGCCTGAGAAAAAAAGTCAATAATTTCGATATGACCTTAACCGGTCTATAAATGCTGACTTCACACCTACCAGCTTGAGCTTATCGATGAGACATAGATCATCAACGTTATCGAGAGCTATTGAGAAATCCAAGAATGTCGTATCCACCTACTACTACCGTGGGAAGTTGTTAACTATTGTATATCGGGGATTTCGATGCTAACGAATGACGTTCTAACGTCAGGTTGATTGAAGGTTTATTGCATTGACCCCATTTGAGATCTGCCATGACGTGTGCCAGCCTGCAATTGTCTTGAATCACGCCATAGCTAGTATGCGTTAGACAATTACATTGATTAGTATTGACAATAGCAGTATAGCCTAATGAAGCATATCCAAATTACAAGTATCCTTACTTAAATCCGACAATTTTTAGTACACTAGCACCGCGCTCATTGATGAGCGACAGTCAAAATGCCTGACATTTCTGTCTATCAGAAACCCTCTGTTGGTTGTGCTATAAGCGCTCGAAAACTGGGAAATTTAAACCTTAGTTTGTCCAAGAGAGGTTGCGTGGCGAAATAAGTTTTTCAGATTAGAGACATATTTGTCAATCAACTGGATATGATTCAATTTTAGTAGCACTGTTGAATCATTTTCCATATTTCCACGGAAATGGTAACCATTACTAAACAAACGCAAGCTTAAGCGACATTGAGTATGTAATTCATCACGACTACTGAGCAAAGTATTCAAATTTTTCGCTGACTTCAAATAAAGCTCATTTACTGAGTCATAGTTGATACATGCTGTCTTAATTTTCCGGAATGGACTTCTTCCTCTTTGAAATAATTCTCTTTCTAAATTCGGAATATTTATCCCAGGAATCAACGGATCACGAATTTGAATTTCCAACTGGTCTTCAAAATTGTTTCAAATCATTGGTATGCTGTTCATACTGTTGCATCATTCTATGAAGAACTGATCTCTCTAGGACTAAAAACTAACACACTGGACATGAATAAGTAGTAATTACTTGAGAGATTCATTGTTAGGTTATAAGCTTCTTTGTCAATGAAAGTCAGGAAATAAGCTGTGAATTTATCATCTCTAATATATCTTCCAGTAATTCTGTGATGTTTGAATGAACTAATGATACCATTGTACTTGTTGAATGCTTGATTTCGAATTCTAAATACAGTACATTCATTTGTGGTTATCTAGTAGTTCTTGATCCGATTACGTTATTTCTGTGATTCCAAGTTCATACTATAATTCAAATACGCGTGAACATCAAACATTCACCTGATTTTGGATCCCTCCGTGTAATCTTTCAAGCCATCTCCACATGAATCAGTTTCTAATTGGCCAAGATTTGACTCCATCACTATGCCACTGTGATAATTCGAAGTACTCAAATCAATATGCTAACTAGAAGTCCCAAAATGGTGCAATTTAAGGAACGTAGAACTAGACGAGTATGAACGAGTGCGCAGTCAAGTACAAAGGAACCATTAATTCGCACAAATATCACAGTAATATGACTCTCTACATTTTAATTTAGGAACGTTTGAGCATCCTGTTTAGATCCCTACAAGGCATCTCGTAAATTTTGTCCTATACACCGTAAAGGAAGTCAGATAGATCTTTTAAGTTGATCATCAATAAGGGGTCACTGCAAACCTTGATATATTCTCAAGGTTTTCGAGTCCACTCAGGTTGAATTCCCATTTGTTCGAACGTTGAATTGAAGCTTGAATTTCCACATCTTTTTAATTAGTTGGACGACACTGAAACGAGATTTTACAGGTGATGCATTAGATGAAATCTTTTTATTGACTAACGTTGTTGATCATCTTAGGTGACTTTCAATCCCAGTTACCTACTTAGGTACCACAGTTACGTTTAGAGACAATTGGCTAAATGACTCCGATTTACTTTTAGAGCTGTGTTTGTTATGGCATTGTTAAGTCGCACCACAGCCTCTGTCAAGGGAGATGAGGTGTTGAACAATTGATCTTGTCTTGTCGTGCCAAGATTTCGTCTTTTGTTACCAGTATCACAATTTTGTGACACCATCCTCAATTGTATTGTATGGGATCTTCAATTTGTGGATGAAATCCAAAGTCAGAGGGAATATCCAACGAAAGTATGAAGACATTTATATTTGTCATTGTTGTTTAGTCAGTTGTAATTGACACGGTACCAGCATTGTTGTACGAGTAAATGAACATGCTATAATTGTTGGATAAACGGACTCCTGTACGATTGTTCGTTCACTATAAATGGTATGATAGTCAAGGTTAATTGATCATGCAGTATTTCATTGTTTGTGTTGACATCAATATTCCAAGCATGGCACCCTCATTAGAGTTGGTCTGTGGTCCACCATTTTCGGAGAATGAATATTATACTTCACCTTATGTCTTTGGTTGATTATTTCGCCGAAAGACTAATGTTCTCAGCCTTTACGTTAGATGAAACATATACCCACTTGAAATCTGAACTATTGTGTTACTTGTAAGGCCTTGTTAAATTCGTCTATTTCACATGTAACCATCCATTTCGTACAAAATAGTCCATAGGCGACCAAGTGGGTGATAGGTCTAAAACGTGTAGATAAGGTTAACGAACTCTAGCAAGAGAGATTCTTCTCGCTGAGCTGCAGCAGAATAAGAGGTGATCTGATAATGGCATACCAAATATTAGGTACGCCAAGCTACCCCAGCTCGAGCATATTATCACAACATCATTACCACACTCCTTGCAGCGGCCCTTAAAAGACCGCATATCAAAATGCAAACACTCAAAATGTGCTCTCGCTTCTTATTATTTGGAAACGCTCCCACTTGACATGTTCTTCGAGCCGGGGTGACCACAGCCCCTTCAGATGACAGCTTCAAGAGAGGCCTGACAATATATACTAGCCCATGGATTACTATCCCCCTAGTGAACTAGCTGTGCCTAATACATGTCCCATAAATCATCCGTAACCACTTCTTATTACATTTAGGCTATCTGTTTATTAGTTTTAGATCACAACCAACCGACCTCCTGCCTAGTAATTTGATAGCTGATGGTATCCAGAAATTCTGCTGACTTCAGACAAACTTGCCCGACTACAAAACATGTGACTCAACAAATAAAAACCGCGGTGACGTTCAGATATTTCCAAGAAAAAAGTTGACATCAGTTTATTTCTGCTTAGTCGTCTGAAATTCATTGTTCATTGGAAGGTTATTCTAAGCATCTCTCAGTGACAATAACCCTTACAAATGATATGAACTGATGGATATTCAGCCATAATTTCTAGAAATAAGATGAAATAATGTTATGGCTTTTGCCTTTGATTGAGTCTAATTTTGAAGTGTGTACCAGTGTAATTGTTCGTCAGAATCAAAGTATTTAAACGTACCAATCAGACTTCAGCGCAAAATATAGTTCAAGGTCACCCGAGCGTACGGTTGTTGATAGAACGAACAAGGCTATAATTTGTGGACGAACTAAACGCGAAATGCACTAATCGATTTTGATAAATAGAGTCATTGCATTATAGCTGATGTAAGTTCGTGTTGAGAACTCGAGATCTAATGCCTAAGCTTAATCGTCAACTCTATATTATTAGTTCCAACACTAACCTAAGGGGTAACACCCAAAAACTTTAGACACAACATATCAGAACGGACTGTAGACACAACTCCCACTCCTTAAGAGTTGTCAAATGCTGTAATTCGCTGCCGGTCGAGCTAGTCCAAACGTCTTCCCAGGAATCCTTTAAGAGGCAACTTGATCTAATCTTAAGGAATAAGGATAGTATCACACTATGATTTATCGATTTCTTTTTCCTTTTTTATTGTTAACATACCTAGGTTCCTGCCTGGAGGTCTTGGTGATCCCCTGCTTCTAGACACGGAAGCCTGTTTAGCGAAAGCTTCTTCCATTCCGTCCGCAACCATTTGAACCATTCTAATTCCTCACACAGGTTCGTAACCCTCATTTGGTCCTGGTTACTAGGTAGACACTCTCCAGGCCAGTCTGGCGTCGCTCAAAGCTCGTCCATAAATTATAGTCTCACCACGCAAACTTCTATTCTTAAATATAGTATTTACTAGAATTGACGTAGAAGTATATTTCGGTAATATTTAATGATTGATGCTTTCCGACCTCACAGGCCTCATCAAATGTCTTTTATTGTCAATAAAGTACTATGAGTAGTTCGCTGCACAACAATCTGCGAGAAGTTTTTGGTTGCGATGCTATAGATTCTTGTTTTTGTAAAGAATTATTTTTCGAACAAGTCGTATATTTCTTACAAACTTCAAACTTAACATCACAACTCGCTACGCTGGTGGAAGAATGTAATCGTTTGGTGAGTATTTCTACTATCAATCTTTATCATACTCTTGATGATGATAATGATCTTCTGAGGTTACTGTGTTTGTTCATAAAATTGATTGGTAATTTAAATGACGAGTTGAATGCATATCTTGGATCTATCCTCGACTCAAGATTGGAGTCAATAATGAATGACAATAGAATAATGAGCGATGTACAGTGCCTTGTTACATCGGTGTTAAGTTCATTGAAATGTGAAAATTTATTACAACCATTATGGCATAGTTATTTGTGTTTAGAACTTGAGTCAGCTGAAATGGATACTGAAGAGTCGAATATATTCTCTTCCATCATTTGTCCAAACATTACAGACAGAAAAATGCAAATTTTGTTATCAGCCCGGAATTCAACTCAGAATCATTCTCTAGTCAGTTGGAATAATTTATATCGACATTTATGTGCACCTTATATTAAAGAAGCTCTATCATACAGAACAAAGTTATTGTGTTCTGAAAATTATGCCGAACGATTTCTAGATTCAATAATAAAATATAAAAACTGCGTACTGAAAAAAGTTCTCATACCTAGACTATTTTCAAGAAAAAGTGATGTACATGATATCAATTCTGAGTTATCGGATGAAATTGTATATAAGACATTCTATTTAGTTCATAAACCTGATATGTTTTCATTAGTTATTGAATACCCAGACTCTGTTGCTGCGCTTATGGACCTGGGTAAATGTTTGGATAATCTCCCAATACGTCAAGATTTGATTACTCACCTAACCGAAGAAGTAAGTTATCCAATTTTTCGTTGTTGCCATTTCACTGTAAATGTGGACTTGCTGTTGTTAAAATGTAAGTGTTTCATTTATCTGCCTCTTTAAATGTTTGCGATATTCATAACGGTAAAGCGAAATCATGAATGGGCTAATGGCTGTAAATAACTATGACAAGTGCGTTCTAAACTTCCCATCCGTAGCGAGATTCTAAGACACCAATTAACAATCCGATCCATATTCTGCAACTGGTCTATTTAGCTTCTCTAGGAACATGAGTACTAATTCGCCTGTCATAATTCAGAAAGCAATTCACTAACTCTAAACTAGGTATGTGATTCATCCTAACCAACAGAGCTGCTTACGTATTGTTGCCAATAAATGCGAGCAATACAACAGGTGTAGTGGCGTTCTATCATCTTCTAGTCGAAGAGTGCAAAACTCAGTGCATCATAGCACTACACACATAATTGATTCATCATCCCGTTAAACCGCTAACTGCTGGTTCCAGCCATGTAAATGGTGTACAATTTTTATTTGGGGTCTACACAACAACTGTAATGTGACAATAAAACACCAGAGTAGCTCGGCTAAGAAATCCCTTCTCAATGATCCCACTGGAAATTATTCATGTTATAGGTCATTGTTGATAACAAACATTATAAATTACCATCCTAAGATTATTATATTAGAGACTTCACAGTTTTGAAGATATCTTCTTACTGAACTAATCTTGTTTTTTTGTCTCAGTAGATGTTAAATGCTGAAACAGAACCGATGTACACCTATGCAAGGCAATAGTTTCCATACAACTGACTAACACACAACCTTTCATTACCAGACCAATGTTACAACGTTGTAGAAGTTGTGGTTCATATCAAAACATACTATTCTTAACTTTACTCACTTAAATGCTAATTTTGCCAGCAATAACAATACTTCCACTCACATAACTACCTAAACACACAATCCTTCACTTTATGAGTACAAACATCGACTCCTACCAGTCTTGTTGAAGTAGTTTATACTTAACTAATTTAACGCATCAACATAAATAAGGCTATTTTCATCGAACATCAGAATCTTTTAATCCAGACTATTCATTAATTTACACTCAACAAAGTATCGAATGTATTGTTGTATTTAGTCAGAATCAGTTTATCTTTTATTATATCATCTTGATATGAACATGTTTCTTCAATATACCAATTTATTATAACTCACTTAGGTTCAACAACGATTATTGCATCCAGGTGTTCATACTGAACAAATTTTAGCTGCTTATAATTACTTAGTACGGGCTTTACGTTTAATCGATAGTACATTTCTGGTACAAGATATAGTTTGCAAACCAGTCTCGGCATGTCTTCGGCAAAGAGAGGATGCGGTTCGTTGTATAGTTGATAAATTAATATCTGGCCCAGAAACCGATGGTGAAGACGATGAAATTAAAGCTGAAGCATACACTGATACAACTACAGAACTTCATCAAGAATTATTATTACCTAAACCATTGGAAGTTGAACCATTGGATGGTGGTGAAGATAGTGATGCTGATGTTGTCTATGAAGGTGAGTCAACATTGTAAATAAGCAATGACCAAATATATGTCCTTGTATGCAGTAAGTGTGAATGAAATCATAATCGTTTGCGACAAACCTAATAAAGTAGTTAACTATCCACTGAAAAAAATTAATCCACTCTGAAACCACACTGATCTTTCATGTAAATGGGATATATGTAACCGAATTCCCTTATGTATAGTTATGTGTAGAAGAGACAATTATTTTATCAAATGCTTTAAAAAGCCTACATGGGCGGGGTATTATCTTAGTTTTCATAGTTCGATCATGGAGTCATTCAACATGACTTATTTGCTTGGCTATAAATCACACTATGTATTGATCAGTGATACTACCCTGTTAACGAGACAGCCAAAGCGTATTTCGAACGCTTGACATCTTGTTAAAATCTGGGTGGTCTAGTCATTAAACTACCTCTTCTATGTTATCATAACAGGGTCATGAGTGATATTCAAATGTTTTGTAGTAAATAAATTATTGGAAAACACTCAGTTTGATTGTAAAGTAAGTCACAAATTCCCGTTGCGTCGAAATGTATAAAGGCAATCTACTAGACGCTTTGAAATAGTATCTTATATAGCACAACTCTCGAAAGGTAACTGCTTCGTCGAAAATTCCGAATTCCGAAACTGATAATCGGATTTAGGAGCGTTAAATTATTAAATACATTCAATCTATTTATTTATTTATTTGGACACATGAATATTGGTACAAGAGAGCGCCAATATATATGCGCCACACAAAACAATGAAAATTCGAGAGGAATACAAAGAAAGAAAAAAAAGCTAAGGAGCGCAACAAAAAAAAGAGAGAACAATAACGAAGAGATTGGTGTAAGGTAATGTGCTAGTAATCAGGGAACGCAAAGGTACAATCGGAAGAAATCTTTCAGGTAAGGGAGACAGAACCACTTTTTATGAAGAAAGTAAAAGAAGGTTACAGCAGGATCGCCACTGGCTTCTATTCTGAGCCATATCTGATAACGTCTCTAGCCACTGTGTAGCACCATCTCTCAGACCCCAACCAGGGAGTCGTGAAGGACCAACACAAGCCAGTCCTTTGCAGCTTTCTTTCATGCTACGACACCATGTCATGCACTGACCACCTCTCCGCTTCTTCCAACCAGTCCCAGAGTCGGCAAATAATGCACGACGTGGAATCCTCTGGGACGACATTCAGAGAACATGTCCAAGCCACCGAAGTCGGTGTTTCAAGATGGTGACACCAATTGAATTATCATCTCTGTGCCCGAACACACGATGCCGAACCTCTGCATTACTGACATGGTGTTGCCACTGAATGTCAGCAATCCTTCGGAGACAGCGATGATCGAACACAGAGAGTTGTCTAACGTCCTCAGCTCGGAGAGGCCAGGTTTCACAAGCATAGAGCAAAACTGCTCTCACCGACGCGTTGTAGATCCGACCTTTTACGGCCAGACTAACATCACAAAGGCGCCATAGATGGCCCAGATTGGCATAAGCCGCTCTGGCTTTCACTATACGTGCATTGATCTCATCACTCACACCCCCACCAGCACTTATGCAGCTACCCAGATACACGAACTTCTCGACTACTTTTATCTACTCACCATCCAGGGTGAGTACAGGATTAGAATCCTGCCAGTCTTGTAGGAGTACTTTGCACTTCGAAGGTGCAAAGCACATACCATACCTACGGACACTGATTGCCAACTGATTAAGTGCGGATTGCATGCCTTGGGCATTATCGCACAGTAAGACAATATCGTCCGCATACTCAAGGTCGAGAAGTCTTTCTCCAGGCAACAGATCCACACTACCATTACTTACATTCATCAGAGCTGTTTCCAGAATGTCATCGATGGCAAAGTTGGAAAGGAATGGTGAGATTGGGCAACCCTGCCTAACCCCACTACTCGAATGGAACAATGGAGAAAGGTGGTTGTATGCCCTCACTCTGCCTGAGGTGTTTTTATATAGGGCTTTTAGGATGTTAATAAACTTCTCAGGCACACCCTTCTTCAATAGACAATCCCAGAGAACAGTTCTGTCCAACGAATCGAAGGCAGCCCTGATGTCAAGAAACACTACGATTGTTGGCCTTTGATAAATATGGCGGTGTTCTAACATTTGGCGGAGAGTGAAGATATGATCAATACATCCTCGACCAGAACGAAACCCAGCCTGCTCCTCGCGAGTCAATCTTTCTCGGGTTGTGAACAACCTACGAAGTATGACGGAAGCCAATAGCTTGGACGCAATCAGAAGTAGACTTATCCCCCGATAGTTTTTACAGGAACGACGTGAACCCTTTTTAAAGATAGGGACAACTATCGACTCATTCCATGACGTTGGCACACTCTCTAGTTCCCAAACCTTTGTAAACAACGTCGTCAATTCCTTAGTCAAAAAGTCACCACCATCTTTAAAAAGAGCCGGAGGTAAGTCATCTGGGCCAGGTGATTTGTAACGCTTCAAGAGTTGGAGTTCCTTGCGGACTTCCTCCTCGTTTGGTGGATCAGTCGTCACCGGCCATGGAGGGCAGGACAGTCTGACCGATGTTGCCGGAGCAGCAGGCCAGTTGAACTGCCCAGTGCTTAAAAGCGGGACGTTTCGCAAACCCACAACTGACTGTTCCCGCCATTTTCATGGCGTCATGCAATTGCAACCAATGCTCATCTATACTTTTCGGTGGAGTGGTAGCTAGCTCGGTTCGATACTTATTTGCAACAGAAGTTGCAACCAGCTTGCTAACATCAATCTTTTGATGGTGGTCACTTCGTTGGCCACTGAAAAGTAAGGCAAGATTGGCGCAGACCAAGGCATGGTCAGAGTCCAGATAGGTACTCCAAAAGGAGCGGCAGTCTTTTACACAACCACGCCAGCGGTAGCTGATCGCGATGTGATCAATCTGAGTTCAGGCTTGGGATGCAGAGGGAGGACGCCAGGTGGCACATCGGCGATGACTGTGCCGAAAGTTAGTGCTAGCCAGAAACAGGTTGTGGTCTGTGCACAGTTGCAGTAAACGGTCCCCGTTATCTAACCTGCGACCAACAAGTCCCCATCGGCCACCTAAACGACTCTCTTCTGTGCCTAGACGCCCGACCTGAGCATTCAATTCTCCGGCTAGTACTACAATATCTGTCGAACGCACTTTCTGGAGAAGAACAGATAACTGGTGGTAAAACTCATCCTTGATTGCATTCGGGCTGCAATCTGTCGGGGCATAAGCGGAGATGACGAAAAGACATCGTTTCTCACGCCGATTTCTTCTCACTTTGATGGAACTTTCTAATCTAACAGCACATAACCGACTGTTAATGGGGATCCAATCGACTAGTGCTGCCTTAGCTCTAGCGCTTAGTGCGACACCAACGCCTGCAAGACCAGACGAAGATGCCACAGGGTCCCCGGATAAGCGCACGTAAAACAAGCTTTTTGAAGTGACAGATGTAGAGCGAATTTGTAGTACTTCGCTAGAGTCTTGAATACGGGTCTCGGATAGACAACAAACATCAATATTAAGACTTTCCGAAGACATAGCCAGCCCTATCTGTTGACCAACCTGCATAAGTGTGCGAACGTTGAATGCAGCCAGTTTGAATGGCGCACGTGGTTTCAGAAAAACTGCTTCAGTACTCATATTCGATGGTAACATACAACTTTCAACCGGACAGTGACTCGAGAACGTTTAGATACAGTCGGATTTCCACCAAAGACGAGCCGCTGTATAAGTATAAAAGAGGGTGAATAATGTGGGAAATAATAATAATAATAATAATAATAACGACAATAATAGTAATAATAATAGTATTAATAATGACAATAATAGTAATGATGATTATTTGAATCGACTGATTGTTTTTCGGAGCGATAAAAGTAGTTGCCAAAGACATAGAGTTCATCGTTTGTGTGTGGGCTGTGATACTGCCCGGGTGCCCAAACCGAAGCAGGTGGTTTTCTTAGGAGGCCACACCCCGAGCCTTTGACCTAAAGGTCTAACCCACAAGGCAGTGGAGCATCGTAAGGAGATGCAGTCCCATGGAAGCCGGTGACCAAAGATTGGTTCATACGCCATTTGTTCCCGCAGGATACTGGAGCCCATGTGCACCATTGGTTTGTGATCCGGTTAAAGCGCCGGACGTTCGCTTTTCGTCCTCTCATTTTCGTAAACAACACTCCCGCCACGAGAAGGCAATGAGTAGGACTTCCCTGGCAGAGGCTGTATACGCGTGGCCGTGTGAGAGTATTTCGAGAGGGAGAGCGGACTTTCCCCACTCTCGGCCGTACCAGGGTATTCGGGGGCATACATTCAATCAGCACTAAAACTAAAAATTAGCGTTGAGTACTCTTCAGTACTGAGGAGTATTCAACGTAATAAATTACTATAAACATATCAGTTCTACAGGAGGTCAGTCGCTGCCTCAACGGCTTATTAGTAACATATGTGGCTTTAAAAAAACCAAATCCTACAGGAAGCTCGGTTGCTTCAAGATTGCAATAATACCCTGCTGATAACTCCTAACTAGAACGAAGCCAATGCCTAGGGTTCTCGCCAGTTGTTCCTATCTTTAAGCGAACAATACTTGGATGTCACGTCATCTAGACAAGCGGTTACATCTCTTTGTGGTTTTCAGAGTTTGATCAGTCATAACAACTAGATATAACATCTGTTACTGTTCAGCGTCAGAGTTCTATGTAAAGATCTCAGTCCTATAAGTTTATTTATTTATTTGAACACAAATATTGCTACAAAGGAGCACCGAATAAATATTCGCCACACAAGTCAGTTGATTTGTGTATGGGCTGTGATACTGCCCGGGTACCCAGACTGAAGCAGGTGTCCTATAAGAAGTTAGTCGGGGCCCAAGTAATTCATCGGTTATATATATGTATGACTTGTCCACCTGTTTATACCATGTTATGAACGTTCCATCTACACAAAGTTAATTCACACATTCATCATAATCACCGTTTTATTTTGTTATGTCGAAATATTAAGTACAATATGTATTCATCTCAATAATATTAATATCTTTTACTTTGATAACAGACCCACCATTTGACTCCGATATACATTCTGCTAACTCAGATAAACATTTTCTTTTGGAAAGTGATTGGAAACCAGATCCTATTGAAGCTTTATGTCAGCGAGGATCTTGGCGTCGTAAATTAGATCTTTTAAGCATGTTAGTTAGCATTTATGGAAGTAAGAAAGCATTTTTAGTTGAATACAAACAATTATTGAGTCAACGTTTATTAAGACAGAGAAGTTTCCATACGGCAAGAGAATTACGAAATTTGGAGCTGTTAAAACTTCGGTTTGGCGAACAGAATTTACATGAATGTGAAGTAAGTCGTTTGGTGTGAACTTGATTTTTTTCTACCGTTATTTTGACATTGTGTCAGCATTAAACGCTATTGCCTCTAGTATTTGCTATCAAACTTCTCTGTGATTTCAAAATTATATATATAATGACGAAGATTTTCCGTAATCTACCCCATATCTGGTTTGTTTATTAACGTATGCACAAGTTTTTTTCATTGACTATCAAGAAAGCGAAAATTAGGGATTCCAAGCTACACTAATGGGTAGACTTGAAATTATCTGACCAATGCCTTGAGCCACCTTGTCGGCTTTTACAACTTCGTCCAATACATGGACGAACGAAGGTCATGATAACGTTATTTTACGAACTTTGGATGTACCAATCTTATCCTTATTTGTTACAATACATTTGTCGAGTCTGTCTCTAGGTTTCCTCCTATAGAGTTTTTAAAAGTCTTGTTATTCAGCTACCTCGTCAGTGACCACTTTTTGTGGTGAAAATTGGAGCGATTCTGAACGATAGTTAATCCTTATTTGCATATGTATTACAATACCAAATCAAGCAATAAAACTAAAGTAAAGTTCATGAAGTCAATGAACAAACCATAAGCTCTGTATTTGATGCTTTTAATTATCACAATGGTTCTTTCAGTGAATGAGTGTGATTTTATTTATTTGACAAGAAATACGTTCTGGTCCTTTGGAAGTAAACTATAAGTGTTAAGACTATATCGGTAGTTTGAGGACTGCGTTGCCAAGATACTGTTAATAATGTTGGGGTTTAGCTCATACACTCCCCTCTTAATGGTCAGTTATTATCATTCTTTGTCAGACTAAAAGTTTGACTTACCGCCTGAAACAGAAACCTGTATGTATCTATTCTTATATTTGGTAGCCTTGTTATAATCGATGTATATCGTTTTCAGGGTTGTAACTGTGATATACTACTCTTATTAGCGACTTATCATTACAGAGCATATATATCTATGTAACTCATATGTTTTATTTGCATAAGCTGTCACTCACCGTCCACGTTTAACATACAGTCAAAGGGATCTTTTGTGGTATTCGAATGAAACGATCGTTTTATTGTTGTCCAGTCATACATCCGAACCCCTTCCATTTACATCTGTTCTTACACCTGTAAATAACAGTGTTGTTAGATTTCTCATAATTTACCTCAAAATTTAACAGTAGACAAACCTAAATGTCTTTAAATTCTAGTCTTATCCGCGTTAAATTTTTCTCTCACGTATAGGTTATGCTTAAAGATATTCGAGATTCGAAACGAATTGCTAATTTAGTATCAGAAGCTACGTCAAATAATTCAAAAGGAAGGCATTTAGATCAAACAGATAAATTATTAAACAGTCCTACTCTTGCTCTTGATGATAATGAAATCATGGAATCTGATGAAACGCAGTTAAAAGTTGATTGTTTGGAGAATAAAGCAACATCTGTCGTATGTGTTACTGGCGCTACTACGACTCCCATTACTACTCCCAGTAATGATGATAATTTTATTTTGAGCAGTAATAGTAATAATGCTAAGAATATTGCTTTTCCTTTATCTGCTTACATTTTATCTATTCATTATTGGCCAGAATTGCTTGATGATAAATTTAAAATACCTGAAGATTTTCGTCCAGTATTTGAACACTATGAACAGTAAGTGGTATATTGGATCAACAAGTTTATTTAAGATTTATATATTGTATGTATACTTAAAGTGTTTATTATTAATCTATGTTATGTATTTGTATCATGAAAGGATTTTACATCAAACCGAAGATTGTTTCTGAAATTCAACGACCTGTCTTACTGTGAAACCAGATCGAAGTTCACTTGACTTTTAAAAATATTAATTCTAGTCAACTTTATATTGTCCAATTGTGTTTTACGACTAAATCGTTTATCTCAAAGTAACACTCGTAATCTTTCTAGCAGTATATTTCTTATTATTATTCAACTTCCTGTAATCTATGGTTTTAAACCCATAAAGTACGTAAAATAGATAGATGGTGGCTAGCAGTGGAATCCAAGACGCGCGTTTCGTCATATCTGGGACTCGACAGCCGCATGTACCTGAATCCCAGATTTGATGTCTACTTTGGTACTCAAATCCAGTACCATTCGCTTCAAACCCCATCGCATGGTCCACTTAGCTACTGATTCTATATAACCAATCGTGTGAGATTTAATTCAATTTGAAGTGGGTTGGATTATCCTGTTGGTTTTTTTTACTGAAAGTCAATCAGTCTTGGTTGCCATATGGCCATCTTGTGCGGATTCCCTTGCCCCATCTATCCTACGTTAACTTGTGTCTCAATGACCATATTGAGATAACCGGCACATGATCCCTAATGCCAACCACAACTCATTAAATTCCAGTCAAAAATATCAACAACGCGATAATCCAAACCATTCTAAATTCAATCAATGACACCTCGTTAAGTAGACGTGATCAATTACCAAACAAAATACTTAATAATAATAATTTATATGTTCTGAAAATAATAATTACAGAATTCATTCGAAATGCTCTCACACGGCCACGCGTATACAGCCTCTGAAAGGGAAGTCCTACCCACTGCCTTCTCGTGGCGGGGGTGTTGTTTACGAAAATGAGAAGACGAAAAGTGAATGTCCGGCGCTTTAACCGGATTCCAAACCAATGGTGCACATGGGCTCCAGTATCCTGCGGGAACAAATGGCGTATGAACCAATCTTTGGTCACCGGCTTCCATGGGACTGCATCTCCTTACGATGCTCCACTGCCTTGTGGGTAAGACCTCTAGGTCAAAGGCTCGGGGAGTGGCCCCCTAAGAAAACCACCTGCTTCGATTTGGGCACCCGGGCAGTATCACAGCCCTCACACATATCGAATGAAATTTGTGTGGCGCATATGTATTTGGTGCCTCTTTGTACCATTATGTATGTGTTGAAATAATAAAAATAATAATAATAATCACTCCAGTTTACAGGCATGATCAATTTAATATAAATAGTAACATTAGATGTACAGAACAAACATGTGGTAGAAGAAAGTTTTAGGTATACTAGTTCAGTAATTGTTTAGGCAGTACATGTATTGCAGATAACACTTCATTTATGGTAAGGTCTAGGTTGAGTGATGTATCGCCGAAGCATATCCATCCACATTTAGCCGTTTTAAGCACCACTGCGCTACCTTGTTAAGCTCCATGCTGATGCAATTTTGCATATTTTTTAGCTCATGTGGAGAAAATGAATATACTACTTTAAGATCACCTACACATAGAAGGGGCTTACCCACACAAAAACTTTCACAAATATCATTGATAAACACTAAAAAGAGCAAAGGACCTAAGACACTACCTTGTATTACACCACTTCTAACAGGGACAGCGTTAGACAATGAGGAGTTAATTTAACTAGTTGATGTCGATTGTTGAGAAAGGAAATCAAACCAAGCTAGCAAAGGATTTTGAACCCCATAAGATGAGAGTTTGCCTATAAAAAGTTGGTGGCTAACCATGTCGAAGGTTTTAGAAATGTCCAGATATAACACTAAGACTAGATATCCTTGGCTACGTAGAGAATAGACTAAATCAAAGAAGTCAAAATGACATGTCATGCAAGATCGATTTTTAAGAAATCCATGTTAAGTATCACTGATAAATTTTCCAGCGAGTAAATAGTTGGAAAGTTCATCACTTGTAATTTTTTCCATAATCCTAGAGATAAATGGAGTAATAGTTATCGGCCGATAATTGTTCATGTCAGTCTTATCTCCAGATTTGTAACGTAGTATGATGTACGCGGTTTTCCAACAGTAAGGGTAAGGACCAGTTTCCATAGAGAGAGTAAATAGCTATAGAAGAAGAAGTGGAATATCTGGACCACCATATTTGTAGAGAAAGGATGAAATCCCGTCTGCTCCATGACCTCTCGAAAGGTTAAGGGTATTCATAGCCTTATTAATTTTCATGAATGTGAAGGAGATAGATTTTATTGAGTTGCTAGTCACGCACATAACTCTTGATGCAGAGTCACTTATGATCCCTACACCATTCGCAAAAATACCACTGAAAAGGTCTGCTATAGTTTTAGAGACGTATATAAAAGTGCTATTATGCTGGATGCATGGTATATCAACATTTCGAGTTGCTTTAGCGCGTTTATTGAAAAGGAGAGTTAAGTTTTGTACCTTTGAGTTAGTATTGAGTGCTAGTATCTCCTCATTAATGGCTTTTAACCTATGTTTCTCTTCAATTTGATTAAAAATTATTGTTATTTTTGCAACTGCCGTGAAGTCGTTTGACGTAAAATAACGATTCTTCAGGCGTCTTAGTTTATTACGATATTTAGTTGGTATATATAATTCGTAAGGTTTACTAAACCTGTACGTTTTAGGAGGTACACAGGAATCTCAACGATCAGATAGAATTCATCGATAGCATCCATGAGACTATTACATGAAAAAAGTTATCCCAGTCTAAAAGTTTAATCATTGAATGCAGAAGGTTCCAGTCAGCATGCTTATAGTCTCTATATTGGCAGGTTTTTTGAATGGGCCGATTATAAGAGGGATAGATAGGGAGAGCGCAAACTACTATCTTATGGTCACTACTTTCAAATTCATCGTATACTTTTATAGATAGTGGGATAACATCTCTACTAAATATTAGATCGATTATACTATCGCCTCTAGTTGTGGTACAAACCCACTGTGACCAGCAGTGCATGTTAATGGTTGCCGAGAACTCATCATTCCATGACTGACAACTACCGGTGCTCCAGTTAATCCCAGGATAATTGGAATCCCCAGTGATAACCTTAGCATTAAAGTTTAGAGCAGATGCATGTATGAATGCATTGATAATAAGATCATTCCCATTATTCGAACTATCAGGAGCTCTGTATATACACCCAAGGAGTAGACTATGATACAGGGTGTTGACTGATATTCAGACTGATTCTGGTAAACTATTCAGGACACTATCTTCAACTTTATTAGTTGTTAGGGTATCCAAAGCATATATAATACAACCACCTCCTCGCTTAGTTTCTCATCAACTCACCTCACTTATGATACAAAGGGCGAGAATAAGGCTTGAGTGTCCAAACAGTAGCAGGTGATTTTCTTAGGGGGTCACTTCCCAAGTTTTTCACCTAGAGATCTAATCCACAAGATAATGGAGCAACGTTAGGAGATGCAGGCTCACAGTAGCCGGTGACCAGTAATTGGTTCATACGCCATTTGTTCCCTCAGGATCCTGGATCCCATATGCACAGTTGGTTTGGAATCAGGGTTCCCTAACCTCTCCAGGTGGACTAACCCAGTTAAAACGCCGGACATTCGCTTTTCGTCCTCTCAATTTCGTAAATAGCATCCCTTCTGCTAGAACGCAGTGAGTAGGATTCTCCTGGCAGCAGCTGTATACGCATGTCTATGTGAGAGCATTTCGAGAAGGATAGTGGACTCTCCCTGCCCTCGGCCGTACCAGGTCATTTAAGGACGTTTTAAATGATTAGTTTGGCTAGTGAAATCAAAATCCATGTTGATTCTATTAGTTGGGACTTTTTAACACGTTCATGCTGCATAGTCAATAATTTTCCCAGTAGAGTGGACTCATTGATTTTTGACTGTTGTTATTTTTTTATGCTGGTTGTATCAATAGTTGTAGTGCCTCATATTGGGTAACTTTTGGAATTCTTACTTATTTCCTTGTTCGTCTATTTCACAATTGAAATAAACATTAACTCCATTGCATATATACGTTCCGAGGCATCTGTGTGTTTGTGTGTCCGTTTAACTTCGTTTCAATATCATCTATTACGTATCTTTAAAATGGAATTTTAAAACAGTATATATCAACTCAAGTAAAATCATGCCTTGATAAATATTTCCCAAAACAAGGTTAGAATTGGTTGAATTCTAGTAGTGTAGTCCAATCAGTAACAAACTATGCTTTATGTATCTCATTGGAAAATTCTTTATTTTAGATGTTTCCAACGTCTTAAAGGCAATAGAACACTCAATTGGATGCATAAACTGGGTCTAGTGAATATCGATCTTACACTTGGCAAACGTAGTGTGAAAATTGATGTTACACCGTTGCAAGTATCAATTGTTCATCTATTCACAAAACAACGTACTTGGTATATAAGAGATTTAGCTCAAGTAAGTAAATCTGTTTCTTACTAGTTAACCTAAAGTTCTTACCCAAAACAATCAGTTCGATATCAGTTTTTATTTAAAAGGTTATTTGCTTTTTGATGAATGTTTACGACACACTCCAATCTGCTAGCCTTTAGAATGCTGAACAAGACGCATAATTTTCCTGAAAGACTGTACACATCTGTTGTTGCTCTTCAAAGTGAACACGACCTGGCGACTAAAGAATCTAGACGAGTGAATTTGAAGCATCGGATCCGTAACTTCAGAAGTAAAATAGGCTTTACAGGCGATTGAATACGTCTATTAAGTTCTGGGGTGCATTCTTTCCTACTTTGTCTCAGTAGGCTATGTTATGAAGCTATTAGATTCGAATCTACTACTTTCATGTACTACTTTTACATGTACTCTTGGCATTTATGTCTGAGTAATCTCACGATACTTCACAGGGAAGTATGATTACATACAAACAATAACTTGTGAGTTTATTTGCTACAACAGACAGCTGTTTGACATACGATAAGTCATCCCGCTTTCTATACAGCAAACATACGTTGATAGAATGCAAACAAGCCTTTTTATCCATGTGTAATTTTTATCAGCTGTCACCCAAACTAAAATTAATGAAACTTTCAAATTAAGTTCATTTTATTAAATTTGCACCCCTTCAAACAAGTCACCAATTTATACTGTTAATTCTTATCTGTCAATCAAAGATATGTTGTTTATTGTGACTTAAGTGTAGTTAAAGCACTTACGTACGCATGTTACTGCCAATGGAAAATAGGCGACCGACCAACATTCTCCAACCCACTCAGTCCTGGGCCTTCCTTTCTAGTTCCATCCAATTGTTGTTCATTCATCTCATGTCTGTCTCTATTTCTCGGCGTAATGTGTCCATTGGTCTTCCTCTTCTCCCTTGGCCTTGAGGATTCCAAGTGAGGGCTTGCCTTGTGGCGCAGTTGGGTGCTTTCTTCGGTGTGTGTACTACCCACCTCCAGGGTTTCTTCTTGATTCCTGATAGTGTCTGGCCAACGGATCCGAAGTATATTCCGTAGGCAATTGTTAATAAACTTGTATCTTCTGGATGATGGCTTTCGTAGTTCTCCAAGTTTCCCCACGGAACTGACTTTGATGTCGGTTGACTCCGCCTGGAGCCCCTCTGGGGCTACTGTCGGTCCCGCACCCGGATAAAGGAGGAGGGTTTGGCATGAGGTTAGCAACGCTATCCCTTAGAAAACTAACTCGCTAAAAAATGCTAACTAGAAAAATAATCCAAACTATTTAAACTGTCCTGGGAGTTAGAAGGTCTTCATTTAAAAGAGTTATGACACCTCATAGTGAAAGCCGAGTTCCTTCGGAAGTCACGAGGCTGACGCCCCTTCTGACAACCAGAGCAACGATTAACATAGGTACATGGAATGCTCGTACAATGTGGGAGACCGGAAGAATCATCTAAATTGCTGCAGAAATGAAAAGATACAACCTGGAGGTGTAGTTAAAGTACTTGATTTTCAATCATTCCATCAAAGGTTCAAACTCTCCACTTCGCTTACTTCGATTTTACCAATCAAAATACCACTACTAGTTTCCACACTTAAAATGTAGCTCAAAATTGAGCACTGCTACATTCTACTTTTTAATACTTTCTGACCACGACTACTGTTTTCGTCTCTTCCCAAATCAGAACGAGAATTCAAAGCGACCAATATATACTCGAATAATCTGAATAACAAAGATACTGTTAAGAAGGAAACAAAAATAGATAATTCACTGATAAGTCAAGTCAGTTAATTTGTTCTTTACACACATTAGGTAGGTGGTTAAATGCTAGCTTAACTCATTCGAAATTATTGATTGATCGACCATTTCAAATTATGCGTAAATAATTACTGTGGTTGCTGAATAGATCAGTTTTCTTCTAGTCTTGTCTTTTTCTTTGGGTCAACATAGGAGTCTCATTCCATTGCGAGAAGTTGCAGTTATTCCTCAGTCATAGTAAACAATCGTACCAGTTGTAGTAATCAGTATTTACCTTAAGTCACGACACTGATATATCAATTTAGTTTCAAGTCATTACAAATACAGTAGTAAAAACATTATATTTTATATAGAACTTATAAAGGAATCTTCTTGATTCATCCAACAGCACTGATTGGTTGAGTGCATGGATCAATCATTAACGTATTACAATCTGAGTCTGACTAGAATATTCAGGATTCTATCCCGCTAACAAATATACAAGTCTAATTTATTAGTTGTTTAGTTATACTTATATACCATTTACTTGACATATTTGTCCCCTACCTTCTATTTTTTTTTTTTAATTCCTCAAGAAACTAGAAAGTCAAATCTCCACTATTCGAACTAGTTTATATATGTTTATTCAGTTAGGATTTATACGACTATCTGATTCACACGATAGTAATAACCATATAAATTTTACAAGTGAAAATCTAGAAATCTATGAAGTTTGTGATGAGACAGATACTACTAATTCAAATGAGAAGTTAAGTAATTCAAATAGTATAAATTATTTAAATGATCCTGAGAAAATTGATTCAAACACTATTGAAGCAACAAATAATTGGATGTTTACATCACAAGATCATTCTGATTCACTTGTAGCTAGTGTTAGAGAACGTAAAGAAAAAGAATTACAAGTAAGTACTAATAATACACATATTAATTTGTACACTATATGTTATATAACATTCCTATTATATACCATATTAGTTCATTAGTTTACATAGTTCAGTGACACTTGTTTGAAAGGTATCAACACACTCAATAGAACAGTATTAGTACTATTAAATGCAATATTGAGCAAGTTTAGTTTCTTTTAAATACACATTCATGTACTTTTAATGAAACATCGTTGCGCTACTGACTCACCCCTCAAAGGGTAGTATCTTTAATAAATATCATGTACACAGGATACACTAAGCTGTGCAATCATCCACCTTACTCCCTTTAAATCGACCAACAATATCTTTAAACATAATAGCTCAATTTTGTTATCCCTTTTTAATTGTACCATTTGATGACACCGTTAAGTAAGGCTATTGGAAATACATGACGATGATATTAGCCTGTTACCTCAATGTCGTTAAACTGCTCGATAATATAAAGATCAATGAGATTAAACTTCGCCAATTAATGACCACTCTTCAGAAGTGTATTTTAACCATCAAATTTCGAAGCTATTTTTGCATGCTTTAAACTACTTTTACTCGTTTTTACACTTGAAATTCAACCATTTAGAAATGATTGAATGTGATCTCCGGTGGCATATAAGAATAATCTTCAAATAACGGAATTCAATAACAAGCTATTCCAACTTATAGTTGAAGCGTCACGTTTATCAGGCTGTAAAATATCAATAATAGAGTATTTTGCTGCATGTGCGTTTGCTTTTTACTTATAAGATCATCCATAAGAATCGTTGCTTTTATTTGACAGTACCAAAATCAAGCAGTTTATTTAGAGAAGCTGAAGGTTATCTTTCGATGAGTTTAAGCGTCTCCTTCAGTGCCTTAACCTATATCCCATGTGAGTTCTCAAGGATTTCCATACCAATTATTTCCCTACCATTGAAGCTATTCGGAAGTAAAGTATTACTCATCTGAATGATGCTTGTATAATGATTATGTAGTCGATAAAACACAACTATTCGTGTTTATTGGTTATAGGTATTTGTCCCCACATACAAAAGGTTGTAAACATAAATACTATCCATGAATGAATATTTGATTTATGCGTCAACATTGCTCTCGAATAAGTCAGATACGTTTCAGTAATAAAAGGGAATAATTGCTCTTGGTATGAATATCTGTTTTATTTCATTTAAAGTACATAGATCCTAATAAGTAACAAAAAGCGTGCTACACTTAAAAGAAATAAAAGAGAAATTGGCAGCATAATCAATAAATAAATGGGCAGAAATGGTAATCAATAAGAGGTAGATTTCAATGTAACATACAGCTCAGTCAGTAACAACGTTCTACGTTGTTACTGACTGACTGCTGACAGCTAGGACACTATTTTCATTTAAGGATGCTCATTCTATATTGCTTATTACTGAAACAGAACTTACACGGGTCGATGCAAAGAAAGATGGATATCGATAACAGATGAATATTTATTTATAAAATGTACCGTACTTTAGTTCATGTGTAACAACTTTAAGTTTACGCATATTTTTGCATGTTATTGCATTGTTTATGACTGACTGATGGTACATTAAACCATATATAGCTAAATTTTTGTTTCGATTTCATATTTACTCTTATTTAGGTATTTTGGTCTTATATCACTGCTATGTTAACAAACCTTGGAAGTTCGTCATTAGATCGAATCCATTCGATGCTTAAAATGTTCGCACTCGGTTCTACATCCAGTTTAGGATTTAATAGAGATGAACTACGCCGATTTCTAGATAAGAAAATTAGAGAAGGCCAACTAAGTTATGATGGTGAAATGTATAAATTAACAATCCCTGATGTGTAAATACTTTAAGTGTATTGTACAAATAAATATCGTAAAATCTTTTTAATTTAAAATTACTGTATATTTCTTCACTGTTGTTTAATAACAAAAACATAAATTTTCTAAGAGTTAAGTAAAGTAGCAAATCACCCTGTATTTTTCTATGCCTGTGAAACATGGTCTATGGAATGAGACACGCGTGAGATGCAGATTCCCAATTGTCTTCGGAGTATTTCCCGCGTATCGCGAGTAAGCGTGAAGATGAAATGTATCTAGGCCATTTATAGTGTGTTGTAATTGATAACTGTTAAATACGCAACAGGTATTTAGATTTTCGTTCATAACAGTCCTATCTACCTTTTCGTTTGGAAAAGCAATTATCTGTGTTTTCAATCGACCGAGGGATGTGAACAAAAATTGCCACCCTTGATAAGAGCAGATGAACTTCTTTGATCTAATTATCTTATTTTAGGACACTATAGAAACCTTGCAAGAATGCAATTCAAAAAGGGGGGTTTCCAACATATTTTATTAATTTTATATCGGCTGATATATTGGGTTGATCAGAAATCGACTGAATAATAAGTGAACGTAATTAGCCAAAACACAGGTTTCATTTTTAAGTGATGATATGCCAAGAGGCAAACGTACGAATGAGTACATATACGGTCGATTTGGTTTAATCAATAAAATTTATCACTTTGTTCTTTCATTCACGTAGCCGGTTGGGCTCGCGTATAATAAGATCGCGTATCAATATCAGCTCCCAGATCCTATAAGTCACAAGTTTATTTAAGAAAAACCAGTTATTACTAAATTATTTGGAGTTTCCATCTTACTCTAGATCTATGCACAAGGGTATCTCAAATAATTAACTATCAGGGTGACTGGTAAACCTCAGTGAAGTCGAGGGCGTTTGCTGTGAAATTCAGGAGTGGCTATTAATATTTACTTATTTTTCTTCCAACATCTACTGACAGTAACTAAGTATCTCTTCGACAAACAGGTATGACTTACGCGACTGGCGAAACCTATTTCTGAAAAGAAAAAATCGACTGAAGCAATTTACTTGTAAATGAATTTATTTTTGAGAAATAATCAATGTGACGTACAAATAGCAGGATATAACGAAACTACTGCTGAAAATCGTACAAAAGGAGATGATGAGGCAGTTCTGAGTTTGACAGACGATAGTGCGATGAAATTATTTCCTACAGAGATCGAATCGTTTAGCTACATCGCTCCAATTTATAATATCCCAAATCGCCTTTACATAGTCTGGACGTACATTTTTGTACTGAAGATAATATGCATGCTCCCAAACGTCAATCCCAAGTAAAGGTTTCAAACCTATAAATTTTAATAAAATTCAATAGATACATTAAGCTTAGAATAGAGGTGTTAATAAAGATTTTTAGTATTTGTCAAAAATTTCTACACAAATGAGTTTAAGATCACTTTATTATTACCTGTGATATATTGATGGTGCTAAAATGTTCTTATGTTTACACTATAATATTTGTTATTATTCTTAGGGTTTTGTAGTGCTACATTATAAGAGCCTTATTTATTTATTTATTTATTTAAACACATACACCTTGGCACAAGGGGGCACCAAATATATATGCATCACACTTCATTCGATTTGTGTGAGGGCTGGGATGCTCCTTAAGCGCCCATACCGAAGCACGTGGCTTTCTTAGGAGGCCACAACCCGAGCCTTCGACCTAATCCACGAAGCAGTGGAGCATCGTTAGGAGATGCAGGCTCATGGTAGCCGGTGACCATGAATAGGTTCGTACGTTATTTGTTCCCTCAGGATCCGGGTGTCCGTGTGCACCATTGGTTTGCAATCAGGGTTTTCCAACTCTCCTAACTGGGATCCTCCGTATCCACAAGCCCGGTTAAAGCGCCGTCCTCTCAAATTTGTAAACAGTGTCCCTTCTGCTAGAAGGCAGTGAGTAGGACTTTCCTAGCAGCAGCTGTATACGCATGTCTATGTGAGAGCATTTCGAGAGGGATAGTGGACTCTACCTGCCCTGGGCCGTATCAGAGCATTTGAAGGCTGTAAGAGTTAATCTTACCGTCATATTTAGTGATAATATCAACTAAGATACTATCATGGAAATGACTTGATCATCCTTGTAAGTTTCAATCATAGACAACAATCAGTTCTTAAGTTCTGATACCATCCAACTGCACGTTATGAAATAGGTAAAGAGAACCTGGGGACTGAAAGTTAACAGTTGAGAATTGAGTGCTTTAGTTGCGAATACAGATCTTTATGGGTTGATGGACCTCAAGTCATAGTTGTTTTGTGAATCCAATAAATACCATATTTGGACAAACTGTAGTATAGGTGAAGCTTTAATGCAAACTTAAACCACAGCTTTGCAACTAGGAGTTAGATAACAGAAAAACTATACTCCTTACACTCTGAAGCTTATTAGTTAACCAAATGGCATTATGCATATGTGAAAAAGTCATCTTAAGATTTACCCGTAGTCCCTTCAAGAGGGTCTTGATTAGCGCATGTGGCAATTTGTAAACGCTTTGTGTTGGGATTATATCCAAGCCAACCCCAACCCGAACCCTGGATAGCAATTGTTGCAGCAGACAGCTTTGACTTGAAGTTATCAAACGATCCAAACTCATCATTAATAGCATTAGCTAAACTACCCGTAGGGACACCCCCACCTTTAGAACTAAGATTATGCCAAAAGATGCTGTGATTGATATGTCCTCCACCATTAAAACGGAGTGCTGGCTAGTAGAAAACATTTAAAAATATTGGAAAAGCAGTGAGTTTTAACATAATTAACGAGGTCCACTACCAAATAAAATTGTTCAGAAATGTCATGCTTATCAACAAAAGGAAGCAGCTGACTAGTATCTCCAGTTAAAATTATGGCGCAAAGCTGAGTAAATAAACTTGAGTTAGATGAATGATTTGATACACATAATTTAGGAAGAGAGGGAGTAAGTTTGGAGGCGCAAAATGATATATTTAATGAAGGTATAAATTAATAAGCCAAACATATGAGCTGCTAGTATATCATTTTATAGTTTACTATCAACTTACATCTTTGTCAAACCCAAACCACGTTTACGACTAGAATTTTTTCGACTAAAGTCCTTGTTCCTAACTTGAAAAACAACTTTCTACCGATTTCAGTACGGACGAATAATTGAAAAAGACCAATACGACATTTACATTTCTTGGCCGATGTAACACTGCAATTACCCATTACTCCATGCAGTTCATATGCCTTAGAGTATATGGCGGGTAAAGCATATAGAAGGTATGAATAACTAGAAATTTAAGCTTGACAATGAAGAAAACTACAAGCGTGATTTTCTCACTCGGTATAACATGACGACTGAGTGATTTCCGACCGAAAATAGTAGACCACCCACAAAAAATACGCCAGGAACGATACAGAATAGAAAGGAAGGCGAGGGAAAAACAGGTGAAAAATAAAACTTTTAGTTTTGTTACTGCTTGCTTATAGTTTTTGAAGCAAGATAACGACCGGCTTATACTTCTTTTAGTTTCTTACAATTACTACCCGATTGTCTCTACAACTAAGGACTTATTTTGACACCTATTTACCACATGAATAGGTAATATAGCACAGAAAAGACATCGAAAATTTTTTTCAAGTCCTTCCTCACGAGGTCACCGTAATACATTGAAGTTTTGAAACTAGACAAGCAATTCACGACTTCTAATAGGCTTCATACAGTAGACCAAAAATAGCAGACTTAGTACTGTTCATATATTTCAATCAATTAAGGAACAATACATTAGCGTGATAGTTTAACTTTGAGTGTGAGGTTTATTGTTTTTCTACGGACAGACTCCTAAGACTGAGTTCTTCAGTTTGCAAATGGTAAAAAAGTGTAGAGTAACTAGCACATAACCTAAAGAAATCCTCATATATTAAAACTAATTAGTGTCAATTGCTTAGTATCCCAGTTAGTTATTATTACTAAACTTACAAAACCATTATTCACAAGATTTTATCATTTTGATTAAGGGAAAAAACTCACTTATATCGAATTTAATGACAGTTTTTAGCGAAGTATTCAAAGTCAATGACCTGTCATGTGTAAGGATGTCTACATAACCGATTTACGTCTTAAAATATGAAAAGACCTACTATTTTCGTATTATAGTATGAGGTACTATGTATTAAGCATTTGAAGTGATACTCAAACGGAATACTTATATCCAAGTATAAATACTCCTCCCAAGAATATATCATTTTACACCAATATTTAAACCACGACGACTGACCTGAAGAAATACCATTTTTGTAACGTCACTTTTCGAGATAGCTTCAGCAAGCTGTTCCTCAGCACTATTGAGATTATTAACATATGCTGCATGATGTTTGGAATGATGTAACTGCATTATTTCTCCTGATATTACGGGTTCCAAAGCATTGTGTTCGTATGGTAAAGGGGGCAACGTGTGTTTAAAGCGTAGTCCATAATTACGAATGATACTGGATCTGAGGATGCGTGTAGTAGCCATTGGGGCACGAAAAGTTATTACTCCTGTAGCGTCTACAACTCCTCGCGCACTTCAATGCCCAAATTCAAACCTCAAACCCTGGTTGTCGGAGATTGCTTGTACTCTGACATATGTGTCTGGGTAGAAATAGAATACTTTGAGTTTCTGGGAAGAATGATCCCTCTTATATTTTTTATGAATCTAATGATGTCGTTCAATGTGTCACTTTCCTACATTTAACTCAAATGGTTCAAATGGTTGTGGACGGAATAGAAGAAGCTTTCGCTTAACAGGCTTCCGTGTCTAGTAGCAGGGGATCACCAAATCCTCCAGGCAGGAACCTAGGTATGTTAACAATAAAAAAGGAAAAGAAATTGGTAAATCATAATGTGATGCTGTCCTTGGTCCTTAAGAATAGGTCAAGTTGCCTCTTGAAGGACTCCTGAGAAGTCGCTTGGACTAGCTCGGCCGGCAGCGAATTCCAGCTTTTGACAACTCTTAAGGAGTAGAAGTTGTGTCTACATTCCGTCTTGCTATGTTGTGTTTCCAGTTTCTGGGTGTTACCCCTTAGGTTATTATTCGAACTAAGCTTAAGTAGGTGTTTAAGAGGATGTCCAGAAACTCTTTTGGGATTGGAAAAATACTATAGTTAGTTCTACACTAAAATGTGGATAGAGGCAGATTGTATTCAACTACTGACCTGTCAGTCTATCCAGCATAGTAGTAACATTGGTGTAATAAATAATCCTGGCTAGGTACTTAAGTTACATACCACCATACAATCAGTTAACGCCTAAGCAACACGGGTTTCAGTATAAGCATTAACGCTTAACCAACTTACTTATTGCGAGAGAGGATGAGAAAACAGACCAAAATAACGAGTTCTCTGTCAATGCTGTATACATAGATTTTAGCACAGCGTTTGATTGTGTTTCTCTCTCAGATTTTGTGCAGGAACTTTCGAAATTTGGAATCATAGGTGTCGTGCAAGAGTGGGTGAGAAACTTCCTCTGTGGCCAAAAACAAAGGGCGACGATAAATCGAACGCCCTTTGAGTGGAAGATAGTCAAAATGATATATTCTAAGGCATCATCGTAGATCCCCTCCTTTTTCTTTTATACGTCAATCAATTACCGCGACTACTTAAGTAATCAACATTATTGTTTGCAGATGATGTCAGAATCTGGAAAACAACAAATAGCGACGCTGATCATTTTGGTCTTCAAGTTGATCTAGACGTATTAGTTGAGTGGTCTCAAAGTTAGGGCCAAGAAATTCATTCCAGAAGTAGTGTGCAAATGCACATTAGACAAGGCAATATTCGCCAGTATGTAGTCAATAGCACATCGCTTTCGTATGTGCTGGTACACAAAGAATTGGTTTGTCGTTGGTCTAGTATACTGAGTAATATCTGTAATATAAGAGTATTTCCAGTAAAGTTGATGTCACGACTGTATAGAAATTCATATTCGTAAAGCTATCCAAGGGTATTTACGATGTGCCAAGTCATTGGGAAGCCGCCTATGTTCCATAGCGTTGAAATTCATTGATTATATATCAACGGGAAAGGGGTTATGAGCCGTACGGCACATCACGAATAGATTTATCCTAATCATTCCATCCTGCATAGATTACAAAGTTACAAACTATAGATGAACTAACTAAAGTTCACTTTCTATTCTAAGTACCCTTTCGACTAACCTCCCTTAAACTGACTCCGTGTGGCATCTTTTTTCAGATAACACTATATGATACAACGGTTTTTCCAGAGAACGTCTTGACCATACCATGGAGTGGTTATCATGTCCTTTGTTTTGATGAAAAGTATATGGTAAATACAATGGCACAGCTTACGATTGGTACCATGTACTTACTGATGTCAAGAATGCCGAATTTTATAATGGTTCGATCATAGATTCCATGCAAGTCTCCTCGAATAGTAGAGTTTTCACAGGGACCTATTGTCTCCTGAATGATCATGTAGTTGAATTTGATATTTTGAACCACAAAAAATCACAACATGACCAGTCAAGGCACTGGGCCTTCTTGAATATTGCTTAGTCTTAGAAATCAATAAGACATAGCAGAGTGCAGTTCGATGTCCGCATTACTTAGCCGAAAAACTATTTGATCTCCGCCTCCATGTGTAGCTAAAAAATTGACCAGCAGTCGAAAGACTGCACCATGATATCACATTCTTATACATACGTGGCCAGCTTTGCTCTACTTCGATGGTAATGTACTCCAAACAATAGAACAATAGGATAGGTTAGTTGTATCCAAACCCACTAAGTCTCTCCATAACACCAGGATTGTATTACATCCTGTTTACATCGACACGTTTTTTTCGCGTTTCAGCACCTTAAGACCTCTTTGTATTTGAATGGTGCTCACGCTCCAAAATGCGCAGGTCATTGTGGCAAAGGTTGTGATTGACGTTGGTTGACTGTTGTTGGGTCAGAATTCCTCAGGCAACCTCACTAAGGGATCTGTATGCCGTTTACAAGTTCTTTTCTAGTGTATTTATCGAGATATGCTTTTTTTCGTATTCGCAGACTTAACCAGAAGCTTAGTGTTGCTCTTCATAGACATTGGTAAAATAACCCGATAAGTTTTTAGTATTATTATTCTGTCCTACTTGCTTTTTGTGTGCAGTTGTTTGACCTGCTCGTCTAACATTAGCATGTAACAGACTACAAGCCAGGAGTCCATAACTTTCTGCATGGGTGTTACATAGAGAATACTCAACCTCATAACAGTGGGTTAGATTTATACTTTGAACTTATAGAAGTAGGGGGGAGTTTCAGTCGGAGCGTGACAAGAAATAATAATTCTTGACCAAATTAAATCACCAAGTAGTCATTGGCAAAGTAACATTGGCACATCCGGAGCCGAATGCGTGCACAGTCTATTTATTTCAAGGGGTTAGCTACAACTACATGCTATTCTATCCTTTCTTCATGGACTGGCTACAAAGCCAGGACTTCAAGGATAGTGGGGTCCGAATTCATCGTTAGATGCATTTCTACTGACACATTTCAGTTGAGCGCTCTGCACCTTTGGGATAGGTTACATAGAGACTTTTCTAAGTAAGGTCTTCAGTTTACTAATATCAGTTTGAACATACTAGGATTCATATCACATCTTAGAAGAACACCTGCCGTCAAATCTGTACTTGAGAATATCGATATAGTATAATCAGAGCACTAGAATTCGCCTAGCTCATATTTCGTTATTGGTATTCCCTATTGTTTAAAATGTTTAGTTATATTTATTTTCATCTGTACGATAACCACTGTTTGTTAGCAAGGAAGCAGCTAAATGGAAAAGTTTGGTATAGGTTATGTCTTAGAGCTTAGGAGAAATATAATTTACGGGCAAAATGAACACTCCTGTAATTTATTTCTACGTCATTAATCATCTATCATTGTCACTATAAGTTTGATCATGAGCATTTAATTCAATTTGTTAGTGCTGTTGGATAAACGCTTTTCCATTCACACCACTACTTGTTTTCGTGTAAATTAATTGCATTGGAGTAAAGTGAATGTTAGTTTGAAAGTATAACGTTAATCTATCACTGTTTATGTTCTAATACACAATTTCTTCCAACAACCAACGCCTTTTACGAGACAGAACATGTGGCTAAGATGATTGCGTTACATATGTAGTACACCAAATGACTCCTAACAACAATCTTCAGACCATCGCTTACTCTACTTAGCACTGAACTGATCAGAATTTTTAGTTAGGCCTTGAAAATTGACAGTTACCGTATAAATAACAATAAAGACCAAATTTTAAGCTTTCAAATTTGTTTTATATATTTGACCTATGCAAAAACTCTTTGAAGGCTATTGAACATTTAAACGCAGTGCTATGGTGATAGAATACTATGAGTTTTCAAAAGTCACTCAACAATGTGCGTGTGTAATACATTCGAAATTTAATTCTTCTGGCTTCTAGACTTTATTTTCAGTTTGTTTCAGTGTTACACTTGTGTTAATACTAGCTGTTATCGATCGCTTTGATTAGAATTATTGATGTGTTCTATGTGCATATGATTCGTAAGCCCTGTTTTTCTTATTGTTATTATTTTTCCCAGACCTCTAAACACGCTACCTCTACGATGACTTTCAGGCGAGACGCAAACTGTTATACGCATACATTTGGTTGTGGGATTTAATATCAATACAGTTCCAATAATCTGATCGAATTGTACACGATGAGCATTGGTAAGTGGTAGTTTATAGAAGTTCGCTTTTTACTTGTTAACAATATGTTGTGCCGTTTGTTATTTTCATTGTCTTAAAGTTGATGGCTGGTGGCCAATGTATTAATTGGGAACTAGTACGAATGAATGTACATTCATCGAGGAACATTAGTATATTATTCTATTATGAACAAATCTAATTCTAGTGTTATTAGTTTCTAAGCAAACTAATCGTAGAACAATTTGAAATACTTTAAATGAAACCATCAACGTCATGTAAACATTTAGTTTCAAAGGAATTATTATGTTTAATAAATTGGTATTAAATCTATACAACTATTTATCCAATTCGGAATACAACGTCTGATCGGGACTGTGACTATCAAATGGATTGCCTCGATCTTACATGGATAAAATGTGTTTAGTTATACGATTAATTTAAATGTTTTACTTGTGAGTCCTTAAAATATTGCCTTCATTTTGTTGACTATCTGGTTATTTATTCATCCGTTAATTATATTCGGTTGACATATTGCTCTGTAAATAGTTGAGATTCATTAAATAAGTGGGACTCTGAACGGTGTAAATTCATTTTATTACAATACAGACTAGACCGATTTTTATAATAGTTTTCTTTATATTCTATTATTGAGGAACTACAATACAAATGTTCTTGAGTATTTATTTAAGTAATTGAATCAACTCGCATATACAGTAATAATAATAAAGTTGTAATAGGATTAAGTGAACTAATCTGGACTGAGATCATGGTAGTTCTGAATTAACACTAGAATTAGATTTCTTCATGATAGAATTAGATTATTGTTGACACTGGCACGTAGCACCACTAGCAATTGTATTAAAATATAGAAATCACAGTGACAGTTGAATATTCAGTAAATCCGGGACTGAATTTGACTAACCTGATCTATATTAGCAGATAAACAGATAGTCAATCAAACGAAATGGATATTATATGGATTCATATAAGAAACATTCAAATCAATTGTACAACAACTTGGACGTACGTTAACCAATAAAATCGGATTAAACCATTCGATAGTCATACTCCAAGCCAGATGTTTTATTTCGAAATGAATATACAGTTATGTGCATTTAACACTCTTGTATTTCTATTCTAATACAACTGTTGATGATTCTATTTCCATTGTTGATATGAGTCGAGTTCATACAAAAGAATGTTCAACTTATGAATCCTTCTAATATTGCCTTTGCTTGTGTTAACTATCTTTGTATCCATTATTTATCCCGCCCGTCGTTGCTACTTTGACGTTGTGGTCGGGCTTGCCTATCGTGATGAAGCAACCGAACTATACTGACTAGAACAACCGTTCCTCAAGGTCCTACCATGTCAGACAGGTCGATTGAAGAGCGGTAAGACTAAAAGCAGCAAACCTGAGGTCCGAAAGTGAATTACTCATAAAAAGGTCGTGTGTGGCCGACCTCAGGCAATTGTCCCTTTGACACTGTCGTCACGCTCTCAGGTCACTAAGACCACATATAATACAATTTCCTTTTCAGGTACCTCCAGAAGAACCCTTACACGGTGTGGGCAACTGGGAAGTGATAACCGCCCTCATATTTCTAACAGTATTCAAGACCACTGTATTCATCGATTATTTATATCAGCAGTTAAACATATTAACAAATTTTTCTCTATTATTTCTATTTTCAATCGTTGAAATTATGAGTTAATTGAAGCTAGATCACCATGAAAAACTTGGAAACACTAGACGGCCGTTTCTTTCTATTATGGGACTCCTCAGCAGTGCGCATCCATGATCCCGCTGCCCAGTGATTTCAGGTTTTCCATGATGGTCTACCTTCATTTGACTCATGATTTCAACCATAGATATGTCTACGTTATATAAAAAATTTTTGTATTTTTATTTCTTTTTTTTGTATTTTATAATGATTACGTAATATCTTTCTATTTATGATAAATCAATCAATCAATCAATTAATCAATCAATCAATATAATCAATAAAAGAAATTAATACAAACTATGAAAATTATTTAAATTCACTACAACAACGTAATAAACAACGTAAATTATTAAATCAAAAAACGAATGATGATTTAATGAAAGAACGTTTAGAAAAAGGTTTTCAATTATATTTTAATGCAGCTACAAAATATTTAAAAAATAATTCTTATCCATATCATGATACTACTTATCATAAATTAAAGAATAAACATTATAAAAGTAGTACAAATAGAATAACTAAAAAAATTCAACGTAAAACATGGGGTGATATTTATATACCATTTTATCCAAATATATCAATAATTAATAAAAAAAATCAATCATTATTACAATTATATTATCCAAAATCTATATTATGTAAGAATTTACTTCGAATTACGTCATCATCCTCATCCTCATCATCTGCATCATCAGCAGGAGCATCAGCAGGAGTAGGAGTAGCATCAACACCAACTTGTAAACAAAATAATGAATCCATGAATGAACTAATAATAAATCAATCAGAAATAGAACAATTGAATCAGATTATATTTCATTTAGATATATATAATAATTGGGGTAATCAATTATGGATTGGTTTAAATGGTATTGAAATCTTATTAAATCATTCTAAATCAATGAAAATCTATCCTAAACGAATCAATATTTATAAAATTAATCAAGAAGATAATACTACTACTACTACTACTACTACTAATGATAATAATAATAATAATAGTAGTAGTGGTCCTTCATTATCCATTGCAAATGATCATCTATTTAAATCAATATATGATATCAAAACTGATCAAGAGATGTGGATCACTCATATTGATCATTTACCATTACGTATTGAATTTATGTATTTATTAAGCCAATTTACATTTCATGATCTAATTACATTAAATCTATGGAATTATATAAATTCAGATCTAAGTAATATTGGTGTGAAACAATGTCATCTTTATGTTATTTATGATAAGAAGACATTTACATTATATCATGATATTCTACCAAATACCAATGATCATTCTATGGAAATGTCTGTCATTAGTATCATGTTCAAGATTAGTGACATAATATCTTTTGAACAATTTCATAGCATTACAAAATTATTACATCATAATGATGATCATTTGAAAGAATCTTCTTTGAAACGGAATAGAAATCAATCTATTGATAAGGATAATCAATTCAGTGATAATATGCAAACTAAATTCAATGTATGGTTTTCTAATTCATATAATCACGATACTACTATGACTACTACTACTACTACTAGTAGTAGTAGTAGTAGTCATACTACTGAAATAAATTTTTTATCTAATGTCAATGAAGATTTATTATTAAATAATTCATTAAATCAAATCCATATGAAACCTTTGATTCATAAATATCAATATAAAGATGAATTCAATAAAGATAAAAAATCTAAAAAATCATGGAATTTATTAGATATTTTTAATGATTATGATAAAGATCGAAGTTCTATGAATAATAACAACAACAACAACAATGACGAAGATGACAAGCACAGTAACAACGGTAACAACGGTATCAACAACGAGGATAATAACAACAAAAACAACAACTATAGCAATGAGGAAGACCACATGAACAATAACAATGGTAACAACGGTAACAACCACGACGACAACAATAACAACGACGAAGACGACGTCAACAACAACAGTAATAATGACAACGATCCGTCTTATTATATCTATAATGAAATAAATAAACAACAACAATCTATCATATATTATCCATTAAGACTAACTACAAAAATGATTAGTATCCCTGAATTACCATTTGGTTATAAATTATTATTTGATATTATATCTACATGGGGTGATCCATATTATGTTGGTTTAAATGGTATTGAAATATTTTTATCCAATGGTATGAATATAACAAAATTATGTCATATAACAACTAACTTATCAGATGAGTCCAAAATGATCACAAATTTAATTGATGGTATTAATTGGACTAAAAATGATAAACATATGTGGTTAACAACATTTGAATTAGATAAACGACATTTAATTGAGATGACATTACCTAAATGGATTCAATCATCTATTGGTTTAATACGTATATGGAATTATAATAAATCTTGCATAGATTCATATCGTGGTGTAAAAGATTTAATCATCTATTTAGATAATCAACCAATATTTTATAATGAAATACATAAAGCTACCGGTTTAAATGATGGTCATTTAGAAGATTTTTGTGAAACTATTTTATTTTCTACAGATAATAATATATTAAATTTAATTGGACAAAATGATAGTTTATTGAAATGTAAACAAGATTATAACAATGATGTTACCATGGTAACAAATGAGGAAACATTGAATAAAGAACCGATGACAGATAACTCTATGGATGATGTAAATGAGAATGATTTATTATCTAACGCATTATCACAATTAACTATTATAGATAATGATGATGATTTACAAATAACTAAAACATATTATATTGAAATGACTTTACTTGAACCATGGATTAAAGAATCTAAATATATTGGATTAACAGGGATTGAATTTTTAGATAAACATGGAAATCCAATTCAAATCCAATCTGTATCCTTAAATGATGATGATGATGATGATGATGATGATACAGCTTTGTCGACTGATGGTAGGAATATAAAAAATTTATTAAATACAAAAAATCATACTACTAATCCTAATGATATGTGGTATACTGTATATAATCCTAATTTATCCCCTCCAATATTAAGATTTTATCCTAAACTAAACAACAATTCATTATGTTTATCGTTTGTCAATTCTATACGTATATGGAATTATAATTATCGTCAAATTGGTTATGATTATAGTTGTAAATTCATAAATATTAAATTGAAACAATCCAATTCAAATGATTCTATTCTAAATGAATTAACAATTTTATTAAGAAAAGCACCAGGACATTTAGAATATTCATTTGAACAAATGATTATATTCACAGATATAAAAATAAATTATACTGACTTACATAGCTTAATAATCAGGCATAAATATAATCATTTACCAATAGGATTTGTATATCAATTCAATATATACTCGAATTGGTCTAATCAATTCTATGTTGGTTTAAATGGTATACAATTATTATCTGATGATGGCAATATTATACCAATACATAAAAATCAAATATATACCTATCCAAATTCATTAGATACTCTTTATAGTAATAAATCATTCTATTCTCATATATGTACAGTGGATAAATTAGTGGATAATCTAATTACTACTAATTATAATCTTATGTCTAAACATTGTTGGTTAACTTCAATGATACCAAATGAGATTAATAAAATTTTTATTGTATTTCATAAACCAATTTGTATTGTTGGTATACGTTTATGGAATTATATGAGAATACCAGAATATGGTGTCAAAGAATTTACTATATTAATTGATGATCAATTAATATTTCATGGTTATTTACCAAAATTTCAAAAAGATTTCGATTTTAAATATGATCCTAATTATAAACATGATCCTGATCAGAAATTTGATCGAAAAAATGAACAAAAATTATTTTGGACAAATAATGAACATTCAATAAGATCCTCTTATTCTATTGTATCATTTGATAAAGATATTTTAATTAAATTAGGTGAAAATCCAAATTGTATATTAAATATGCATAAATCATCAAAGTATAATAATAATAATAATAATAATATAAAAGAGATTGACATGATTCATGAACCATCTAATTATTCAACATATACTTCAAGATTAAAGAGAATCAAACAAACACCTAGACCATCAACATGTGTTACCGATAAAGAGCGATTTAAGGATCAAGTATAAAATGTTTTATCCTCTTTTGTTTGTTTGAATATAAGCAAAATGAAAATAAAAAGGCAATTCAATCTATGATCCCGGTATTATATAACAGTATATATTCCGAAAAATCAAAATATTTATGACTTATATTTTAACTACTCATGAGTAGTTAAAATAACTTTGTTCATAATTACCTTTTTTCCATGTGGAATATCTTCAATGTTTTCTTTACTTGTTATTATTTGTATTAAAATATTTTTGAATGAATTGATTATTTCTAAGAAAAAAAACTTATTTGTTCATACTGATTGTAGCTGGTGATCAAAAATGATACGTCAGTGGATGTGATAACTTAGAACTTGACGGGTATGGTGTGTTGACATACTTGTCATATTTCTTAACAATAAAGTATTAAAATATTTGGTAAGGTGATACGGAAATGGTGAACACTTGAGATTTAAATGGTACAATACTGAAGAGGAACTATACCTTCACAATCCTTCTTATTCTATTTCCTAGTTTGATAGCCTATAAACAGTCTTATCAGATAAATAATTAACCTCAAGTGTTTAGAACGATCCATCTTAATTGAACTATAGTTGATTGGTTCTTATATGATAGGGATATCAGCTTACAACTTGAAAGTCAACTTTATGCGGGGTTTTATTTCTAAACCTTGTTTTAGGTAAAATACTTTGCTGACTTCGATAGTTTGAGCAAGTGTTTCCCACTTCTAATAACCGTCTGCTTTGAAGTACCTTGTCAAACAGAATAAAAGTACATTGACCAAAAGCTAGGAAGCCCATGATAACGATATCAGTTTATAAATCCTCAAATTATTGATATGAGTCTTATGAAGAGACTATAACTTTCAAGTTGGAATCCTCTACTTAATTGTGGTCCATTGTTGGACCCTAGGTAATGCTATAGATGTATTCGTTTCTTATATTCTTTTCATTCTATACATAGGTGTTCTACAGTATATCTCTCATCCTCTAACTATATTCACTGCGTTTATTTTTTAATATTAATAATATTTATGTTTTGATCCCTATGTTTTTCATCTCCTGATGTTCCTCTCATTATGTTTATCTATAATATGGTCATTCGAGTCGACACACTCTTCTGTTAGGATTCTCGTAATCAATAACTGAATCTTTAACAGTAATAAACAAACGTACGAAGACTGACAAAACTTAAACAAACAAATTCAATCATTTATTTTGAAAGGTGAAAATATCAGTTTAACAATATAATACCGAGATTCATTCTGTCATATATTGCAACGCATTTTTCCGTTTAGTAGAATGATTGATTTAGTATATCAACATAGCATCTGGTTTAGATTAGCTAACATTGACCACAATATGTAAGTTATGTAGTATTAAGATGTTAAAGTACGCTTATGAAACATGGGAATAACTTATAAATGAGTAGTGGTAGTAGTAATTAGCGATTAACACTTAAGTGGCAAACTAAACTACATTTTATTATCGGATAGGATAGATCACTAAGACACAAGCACACTAGGTGAATTCGAGCAGAAAAACTAATGTACACGAACGGTCGAATATAGAGGCGAATTAAGACTCAAATTAAGAATCTAATGAAGAGTTGAATCAGTCAGTAAAATTGAAGCATATACATATATGAGAAAGCGAATGATTGATCGAACGATCTCAGCAATTGACATATAAGCTAGAGTGAAGAATATCTGCATAGGCGGTCATATGTGATTAAGCATATATGTTTATATAGACATAACAATAACACGAAGATATATATATATCATAAGCTTTCATTTGACCTATTGGCTACTGTTATATGACCTACCTTTCTTAAGGTATTCCTAATCTATTAGTTACATAATCAAATAATCACAGGCACTTTTGGCTTCATCTTGTGTAATCAATTTTTTTTTTCATTTTATGATGTGATGAGATCTGGTCTGCCTTTATATAAATCACGTATGTCTGAAATATACGATTCATACAGCGAAAGTTGATTCTGTGTTGTGGACTGGGCGGGATGGGCTGGACTAGAACTTACTATACAGAGGACCAATAAGGACCGAGAGTTGACTCAAAGCTTCTAGTATTGGTTGATGTATTATTGGTCCAGAACAGGGACAATATTCTAGAAGTCGGTATTTTGATCAGTGACTTTGTCACACAATATTTGACAGGTTATAGAATATAACAGGTTTAGTTAAAAATACTTGTTAATACTGATAAATATACTATTTATAACTGAATCAAGAAAGCAGTACAACAACGTAATGATTGATTCACTTATTAACATACTTAATTACTTACCTACGCCTGTTACTCCCAATAGAGAATAGACCGCCGATCAGCATTCTCCAACCCACTCTGTCCTGGAGCTTCGCTCCTAGTTCCATCCAATTCTTGTTCATTCTAATCATACCTGTCTCTATTTCATGGCGTAATGTGTTCATTGGTCTTCCTATCCTCCTTTGACCTTGAGGATTCCGAATGAGGGCTTGTATTGTGACGCAGTTGAGTGATTTCTTCAATATATTTCTCACCCACTTCCAGTACTTCTTCCTCAGTTCTTCCTCCACTCCAATCTGGTTCGTCCTCTCCTACAGTACGTTCTTCCTGATAGTGTCTGGCCAACAGATCTTAAGTGTTTTGCGTACTTAACTGTTAACAAACACTTGTATCATCTGGATGATTGCTTTCGTATTTCACCAGATTTCCACCCCATACAGTAGAACTGTCTTGATATTTGTATCGAAAATTCTGACCTTGATGTTGGTTGACAGACTGTTGTTTTGAGTTCCAGATGTTCTTCAATTGTAGATATGTTGCTCTTGCATTGCCGATCTGCGCATTCACATCTGCATCAGATCCACCATGTTCATCAATGATGCTGTCCAGATATGTAAAAGATTTTACATCTTCCAAGACTTCTCCGTCAAGTGTGATTTGTTTAGTGCATGTTGTGTTGTATCGGAAAATCTTGATTCTGTCTTTGTGTATGTTGAGATCTACCGCTTTTGAGTCTGCTGATTCACTGGTCATATTCTGCATTTGTTTTTGCGTGTGCGATAGAAGGGCCAGATCATCTACGAAGTCTAGACCGTCCAGCTGCATTCAAGCTGTTCACTGTATCCCATGCTTCCCATCTGATGTTGACGTCTTCGTGATGCAGTCTATCACCCGGAGAAAGAGAAAGTATGAGAATTAGCAACCTTGTGAGACACCTATGATACATTGTTTTTAACAAATGTTACATATATACATACACTTATTCCAGAATTTCAATCATCAAAATGTACATCCATTTATAAATGATAATACTTCAAAGATCGGGAAATAGAAGTAGATATGAAAAGGATGAATACCAACTGAAAAGAGCTGGAAAGAATTGTCCAGGACAGGGTTGGAAGGAGAATGCTGGTAAGAGGCCTATGCTCTTCCACAAGGAGTAACAGACGTAAGTAAGTAATTAATTAAGTACAATTAGATTGTTTAAAACAAAGTAGTTTCTCAATGGTTTAGTGTTTAATTCAATGGTTTAAAGCCTAACAACTTTAGATGTAGTACATATATAGGAAATTTAATATAAATGATTAATTACATTCTACAAACATTAAACTAATGAGGAAAATATAATAACACAGGAAGAAAATGGATTAAAACTTTAATAGAATTCTAAGTTATATAAGCAAAGATAGATGGTAATTAACAGTGGAATCTAAGATACGCGTTTCGTCCTATTTGAGATTCATCAGACAACTGAACAAGCAGGTAGATATCAGAACTCAGTAGCTAAGTGAATAACGTGATGGTGTTTGAAGCGAATGGTAAACATCAATTCTGAAATGAAGGCACGTCCAGCTGACGAGTCCCAAATAAGACGAAACACGCGTCCTGGATTCCACTGCTTATAAAGCTTGTGAATTAAGATAATATCGAGGTAGTCTTCACAGAATGCACATATGCCAATAAATGACTGATCAACTGCAGTCCTAAACATCAATGGGAACAGTCAAGTAAACAATATCAAGTGAATCTATTAAAAGTTGTGGTCTTTTCATTTTACGTTTTAACAGGAAAAGACGATTTTAAATAAATTTGACGTTGATAACTCGAACGATCCTCATATAATCTAACCCTCAGTAAAATATTTACCGAAAATTAAAAAAAATTGAGAATACTTTAAAATATGTTGTGAGTTCAACTAGAGGTCTGTTGGAAATCTGTGAGTATCAAACATATTTCTTCTTGTAGTATGTTTATTGTTAGTCGTATATATCCCTGAATACAAACGAGTTCAATCCCACGACCTTATGCACCTTCAATATCATTCAACAAATTATATTTCCAACTCTAATCAATTTTCAATACTGCATGACTACTGACAATGGTTAAACTCCTCCTGAAGCCCCTCTGGGCCTATTGCCAGTTTCAAGTTTAGATAGAGGAAGTGGGTTGGCCATAAGGTTGGCGACCCAATTTCGTAGAAAACCAACTCGCTAAGCAAACACTAGTTAATTATATTTTAAGTAACATTTTATCTAAGCTTATCTACTACAAGTAAGTAAGTATTCGTCAAGTCATAACTTTCAACTGAGACTTAACAATAAATACTATACTGTCGTTAATTTTCTGGTTGGCGTTTTTTTAGTGAGTTAGTTTTCTATCGGATGGAGTCGCTAACCTCATGCCTAACCCTCATCTTTTATCCGGGCTTGGAACCGGCAGTAGCTCCCGTAGGGACTCCAGGCGGAGTTACCATACTGTCATATGTAAGTTTTATTTCTTTTTTGTTGAATATAATATCATACAGTAGTACTATAGATATTAGAATAAAATAAAGCCATCATAATAAACTTGAGTTTTTATGAACTATATATAAACTTCAACAGTTCAGACCATGAGTCAATTGAAGCTAGACCATCATGCAAAACCTAGGAGCAGTGGACGGCCGTTTCGTCCCATTGTGGGACTCCTCAGCAGTACGTATCCACGACCCCGCCTCGTGGGATTCGAATCCAGGACCTAGCTGCCAGGTACTCAACCAACTAGATCACTGAGCTGGCTGGCATCCAACGGTGTTAATGCCTAAATTCAACTAATCCAAAAAATTTAGCCTTCCAGTGCTTCCAGGTTTTCCATGGTGATCTAGCTTCAATTG